TAAACCCATCTTCTGGAGCCATGATTAACAAGCCCAGCCCTCCAGACTCGTCTCTCCTCCCCAGAGAACCCAATAGCCCTTAAATAAGGAATATACCTTAAATTATAGGGGCCTTAGTATTATGATTTAAGGTATTTTCCTTAATTAAGGGTATTGGGCTTTCTGGGTCTTTTCCGATAGAAACGAGCTTAGGCAAGCAACCCAGAGAAACAAAAGCCCTCAAACTCCCTCAACCTCTATAACCATAAGCCCCAAAAGCCTAACCCCTATACACTTCCCCAAACCCCTTAAATTAAAAAAAAAAACCTAAACCACCCCCCCCAACAAAAAACCCTTGAGTTCCGGATTAACCCCAGAGCTCCAAGAAAATCCGATCGTCTTCCCGGGAACCCAGAGAATCCAATACCCCTTAAATCAGGAATATACCTTACATTATAGGGGCCTTAATATTAGGATTTTAAGGTATATTCCTGAATTAAGGGGTATTGGGCTCCCTGGGAAAGGTGCTGAAGGGCGTCCCTGCGCTCATCACCTTGGATGCAACGGCTCCTGCGCCTGCAGGGGGTTTCGGCATCTGCAGGATTTCTATAGGGGCCTTAACTTATATAACAATTAGAATAGGGTCTTGGGGGGTTCCTTTAAAGGGTTCTATGAGGGGTACTATAAGGGTTGAGGATTTAATGGCCTTCATAGTTAGAATAGGGTTTTGGGGTATAGTAGACTGTACTTATAGTAAGGAGCCCCCCAAAAATAGTATTGGTAATTGTAGGCCCCTACAGTAGGGTTGTTTCTGGAGCCGGGGGTGAGGGTTTTGGGTTTTTCGGGTTGCGTCTGTAAATTTAGGAATACAAGGCTTAGGTATTTAGGGCGCGTGGAGTTTAGGAGCTTCAGAGACGGTTTGAACATTTTGGTGTCTTGGGGTTTAAGGTTTGGGAGTGTTGGTCTTCTTTGGGTTCAGGGCCGTTGATGAAAGATGAAACGTGACGTAACGTCATCTTTCACGGCGGGAGGCCTGCAGGGTGGGGAGGTGGGTGAAAGACTAGTTTTTTATCTTTCATGGCGGGGGTTTGGAAGGCGGCGGAGGGGGGTGAAAGACTAACTTGTGTCTTTCACGTTGGGAGGTTGGGGGCAGGGTTGGGGGCGGGGAGGGGCAGGGAGCAGGGAGGGGGGTGAAAGACTGGTTTTTATCTTTTACGGCGGCCTAAACCCAAAAACAATTTCCGAAATCCGACACCGGAAACGAAGCCCTGAGCCAAAGACACCAACTATCCTTCTAAGAGAGATCAAATACTGGGCTTTGGAGTACCATACTTTAATACTTTTTTGGGGGACTTTTCCTTAAAGGAACCATCATAAAATAAAAGTCTATGCTTCTTTCTCCCTGGTTACTTCAAAGCCCAGCAAAGGATGCGGGGCCTCGAGACCTACTGGAGCAGATGCTCTCCAACAAGTGTGCCGTTCCTCGGTGTGCAGTGGCAGGGTTTTGGGGTATAAACTGTTTGGGAGTTGGGGTTTGAGACGGTTTAGTATTTTTGGATAAAGCGGGCTGAAGCGGTTTAGAGGGTGAGGTTCAGGATCTGGTGGTATTTTGTGATTGGTGTTTGGGGGGCGCATAGAGCCTAGAAGGAGTTCTATTGAGTAAAAAGCGGTCTATATGTGCGTGTCTGTTTGCAATCGTATTTCGCCTTTTAGAACAAGCAAGTTTTCGAGTTCAACAACATGAGTGAAGGCTTAAAATTCTGTCAACCCCCAGACACTGCAGACATTGAACCAGACTCTCAACTTTCGGTTGGGCCGTCCATCTCGGTGTCCTGCACCCCAAAACTGTCCGAAGAATCCAGCCTGAAGGCTCCGAAACCTAGGAATCTGCTTTCCGAACCCTAAACCCTAAAACCCCCAAACCCTAAACCCTAAGCACCAAAACCCTAAAACCCTGAACCCCCAAACCCTAAACCGCGAAAATGCCCAAATTTAAAGCCGAACCCCCTAAACCCTCAACCTCAAACCGAACGCCCCCAACATCCCTAAACCCCTAAACCCCTAAACCCTAAACCCTAAACCCTAAACCCTAAACCCTAAACCCTAAACCCCTAAACCCTAAACCCTAAACCCTAAACCCTCTTCGCGGCC